CAAGTGGGTGCTAAGGATCAAGACTGACGACAAGGGGCAGGTCACCATCTACAAGAGTAGGTTGGTGGCTAAGGGGTTTATGCAGAAGGAGAAGCGGGACTTCAATGAGATCTTTGCTCCCACTGCCAAACCCCCTACCCTTCGTGTCTTGTTGGCAGATGCAGCCGTTAGTGGGAAGTTCATTATCCAGATGGACATATCAACGGCATTTCTCAACGGGATTTTAGAGGAGGAGGTGTTCATGACGCAGCCACCTGGGTATGAGGATGGTACGGGCAGGGTGTGCAAGCTGAAAAAGTCCATCTACGGCTTGAAGCAGGCGCCACGCTGCTGGTACCAGAAGTTGGCAGCTGTTTTAGAGGAGATGGGATTCAGGACCAGCAGCTGTGATGAGAGCCTCTTTCTCAAGGGGGAGGGGGAGAAGCTGGTGCTGTTTCTGGTCTATGTGGATGACATTCTTCTCTTTAGCAGCAGCATGAAGGAGATCCAGAAGGTGCAGCAGCAGCTGATGGAGAACTTCAAGTGCAAGAACCTTGGGGAGGTAAAGTACTACCTCGGGATGCACGTGGAGAGGGATCTGGATCACAGGTGGTTGAAGCTGCACCAGGAGAAGTTCATCAAGGAGCTTGGGGAGAAGTACGGAATTGAGAATGAGCGCAAGGTTGCAACTCCCCTGCCAGCAGAATTCAAGCTTGTGAAAGCTGCAGAGGATGAAGGGGTTGAAGCCGAGGAGCAGCAGCAATTTCAGTCCTTGGTGGGCAGCCTCTTGTATGCAGCAGTTCACACGAGACCCGACATCTCTTTCTCGGTTGGGCAGCTGGCTAGGGTAGTGCAGAATCCATCAGAGGAGCAGGTGGATGCAGCTGAGCGTGTGGTGAAGTATCTGAACTCTCACCCAAGCATTGGAGTTCAATACTCCGCATCTGCACAGGTGAAGCAGAAAGGGGTTGAGGTGCTGAAAGAGAAGGGGGAGAGGCTTGGAGAAGGCAAGCTTTTTCTCACTTGCTTTACTGATGCTACGTGGGCCTCTGAGAAGGAGGATTCCTCATCTGTGGGAGGATACATCTGCGTAGTTGGGGGAGGACCGGTTAGTTGGAGGTCAAAGAAGCAGACGGAGACAGCACTCTCTTCCGTGGAATCAGAGTACATGGCGATGTTCCATGGGGTGAAGGAGGTGATTTGGCTGAGGAGGCTGTTGGAGGAGATTGGCCAGGAGCAAAAGGTTGCTACGCCGCTGTTTTGTGATAGCAAGGGAGCTCTTGGGATGGCCAGGAACGCTGTGCTTCATGGGCTGAATAAGCACATGCGTATCAAGTGGCACTGGCTGCGTAAGGAGGTGAAGAGGGGGACGGTGAATCCGATCTACATCAAGACTCACCAGCAGCCAGCAGACTTCCTCACCAAGAGGCTTGCGGATGAGTCTCATTGGCGTTGTGTGCGCATGAGTGGAATGAGCATGAACTAGTATGGAATGATGGGGATGCAGCCGGCAGGCTGAGGGGGAGTGTGTTGGGTGCAAATTCACATTGCACGACATCCTGCCGTCTGTTTGTACGAGTATGCGTGTGCGAATGCATTTGCGTGTGAATGGTATGCTTGTGTGTTTGTTTGCTTTCGCAATTTTCGCTTGAAGCATTTGCAGGTACTCGCAAAATGTGCGCTTCGGCATAACATTGTACGCGCTATGAACAGTACAAGCAGAAAGGACGAGCTCGCAAAGGAACCCAAGATGGAAGCTTTGCGGTTCAACTTACTTGATTGCGCAGATTCAGTTCTATCCAACTCGAAATTGTACTGTTTTGTTTGGTTGACTATAGTGTAGCAGGGCAGGCACTATAGGGGTACAATTTAGGTAAAGGTTGGATGTTGTTTGTCTGTATCTGCATGCTACAGGGCCAGGGGAAACCAGCGGAACCAGCATTTGGCTGGTTGGGCAAAGACAAAACAGGTTCTGTTTTTAGGACCTGAACCTGGTTGTTGTTTCCCCAGGTTGGAAAAACAGAACCAGAGGTTGTTCACCAACCTATCACCTGCTATTTTGTCCAGCCAGGTTGGTTCTGTTGCTTGGAATTATTTGGGATCATCCCTGGTTGTTCCCAGGTTGATTCCCAAGGTCCTTGCTAGCTAGAGCTATTTATTCCTTCTCTGTTTGTACCTGAATATAGTGAAATTGATTCAAGCGAATTCCTTCCTTGCTGGAATTTCTTTTCTACGCGGTGCGACGGCGGAATGCTACCCGAGTCAACGCTAGTACGCTAGCACTCCAACGCTAGGCTAACGCTGTCCGAGCCATAACTTCGTAATGGCAGAACTTTTCGCGAGGCAACTTGGCTTATTTTAAAGCTCTTAGAGTGAGCTTCGATATAGGAAATTCTCAGCTTAATCCGATCGACGGTCTGCACGATACGCTGCGCGACGTTCAAGGTACTCTTGCTGTTTTGACTAAGTCCCTCTTGATCCCTCTCTCTACAAACTCGGACCCGAGGATAGGGGCTGGTCTTGTACCAGGCACCCAAGGACCCTTGGAGGTGACCCCGAGGAGAGGTTTTAAGTGTGATAAAGTCTTAATAGCTTGAGTTTATTAGGCCCTTACACCAACATACCCTCCCCCCCACGGCTGCAGGGAAACGAAGGAGGAGGGGGTGGGCGGGGAGAAAGCCGCAGAGCGGCTACAGAGGGTCGGCGCGGGTAGGTCAGGGGCGGCTGTAGGGAGTGCAGGCGCGGGGTGAGGCAGAGGCGGCTGCACCGAGTGCAGGAGCGGGGGCGGCTGCTCCAAGGGCAGGCGCCGGGTGGTGCAGGGGCGGCTGCAGCGAGTGCAGGCGCGAGTGAGGCAGGGGCACCGCCGAGTGCGCCAGGGGCGGGTACGTGGCGGCTCAGGACACCGTCGCAGGTGCCAGGGGCGGTTCCGCGGCGGCTCAGGGCACCGTCGCGCACCACGGGGCACGTGACGGGCAGTTTAGGGCACCGTTGCATGCCACGGGGCGCACGACGGGCAGGGCACCGTCGCGTGCCACAGGGCGCACGACGGGCAGGTTTAGGGCACCGTCGTGTGCCACGGGGCGCACGACGGGCAGGGCACCGTCGCGTGCCACGGGGCGTGCGACGGGCAGAAAAGATGTCACTCGCCACCAGGGGGCGGGACAGGACGAAAATCGCCACGCGCCCGAGGCGCGCGACTGGAAAAACAGCAGCGGAAGCGTTAGGCGGGCCCACAGGCCAGGACGTATGTCGCTCTAATGCCACGTCACAGAACGAGCTCTTAGAGGAATTGAGTGTTAAGACGGCCTAGGCTTAGTAGCCTAGGCCAAGGAGATCGAGTGAGTTGTGCCAAGGCAAGGGTATTGAGAAAGTTGGGAATGTGTGTCTTCGCTATAGGTTTGCAAGAACATATAGCAAATGAACAAAGAAGGTGCACCACCTAACAAAGTTTATAATAACTACACTAACTACAGCTACAGGCAGTTACATATATAAATTCTGACACAGACGTGCAGCAGTTCATCACCTCTTGCGACACGTGCCAGCGGATGAAGAGTAGCAAGCAGAAAAAAGCAGGGTTACTTCAGCCTCTACCCATACCGAAGCAGCCATGGCAGGTCGTTAGCCTCGACTTTATCACAGGACTTCCTTCGACCTCACGGGGGCACGATTCCATCCTCGTAGTCATCGATAAGTTCTCCAAAATGGGTCACTTCATACCGACCAACGCCACAGCTACAGCTGAAGCAACTGCTCGCCTCTTCTTCGACCGCATCATCACCATCCACGGCATCCCCGCTACACTCATCTCAGACAGAGACCCAAAATTCACCAGTAAGTTCTGGAAGGAGCTCATGGGACTGTTGGGGACAAAGCTTGCAATGTCTTCAGCATACCACCCCCAGACTGACGGACAGACAGAGCGACTCAATCAAATGGTTGAACAGTTACTACGCACAGCTTGCAAGGACGACTTCAGCCACTGGGACACAGAGTTACCGACCCTAGAGTTCGCTTACAACAACGCCTCACATGCGGCTGTCAAATTATAATGTTGTGTAGGCTGTAGTGGGGTAGCCTATATGGGGTACACATTCCTAGGGTTGCATATTTGTACCACTTTTATTCCTTAGTCCACCGATTCTCGTTTCAGTTTTCTCATGGTATCGAGCAGGTTCCCTCGTGGGAACTGTGCCTAGGGCCCACCAAGTCGATTTTTTTTTTCCTGCCCGGAGCGCGCTCAGCCCGAGTCGCGCTCCCCTCTCTGACTTCGTCGAGCCGCCCTAGCGGCCACGTCGAGCCGCCTTAGCGGCCCCTGATTCGTCGCCCTAGTGACCCCGTCGCCCTACCTACGGCCCCGGCCCCGCCGCCCTACCTCCGGCCCCGCCGCACTACCAACAGCCCCGCCGCCCTACCTGCGGCCCCGCCGCCCTACCTGCGGCCCCGCCGCCCTACCAGCGGCCTCGTTGCCCTACCTGCGGCCCCGCTGCCCTACCTGTGGCCCCGCCGCCCTACCAGCGGCCCCGCTGCCCTACCTGCGGCCCCACCGCCCTACCTGCGGCCCCGCCGCCCTACCAGCGGCCCCGCTGCCCTACCAACGGCCCCGTCGCCCTACCAGCGGCCCCGCTGCCCTACCAGCGGCCCCGCCGCCCTACCTGCGGCCCCGCCGCCCTACCAGCGGCCCCGCCACCCTACCAGCGGCCCTGCTGCCCTACGCAGCCGATCCGCCCGCACCGCCCGAGCCGCCCGAGCTGCCCGTTCCGCCCGAGCCGCTCGAGCCGCCCGAGACGCCCGAGCCGCCCGAGCCGCCCGGACCGCCCGAGCCGCCTGAGCAGCTGAGGAGCCGAGCCACGGTTGCCGCCGAGCCGCAGTTGCTGCTGAGCCGCCCGAGTCGCCCGAGCTGCCGTGTTGCCGAGCTGCTGTGCTGCCGAGCTGCCCGAACCGCCCTGTCTGGTGAGAGCAGCGGCTCTGTCACTGCACTGCCCCTGCCCTACAGTTAGCGCTAGAAGTCTACTGCTGTCATGGCTATCCCCAGTGTTCTCACTTTTGACGCTGAGGGTCGGGCCATTTACTTTGACGTCTGGGTAGATGACCTGCAGCTTTTCCTACAGTGCGATAGGGCAGACGGTCTCTCCCTCTTTGACCTCACCTTTGGTGCTTCCCCTGCCCCTGCTGCCGATGCCGATGCTACTATTCGCTCATAGTGGGCCACTCGCGATGCTGCTGCACGTCTTGCTGTGCGTCGCCACCTGCCTACCACTGAGCGCGCACACTTTAGTCAGTACAAGAGTGCTCAGACCTTGTACGACGCTGTAGTTGCGCGCTACTCTTCCCCTGCCACTGCTGTACTGAGCCGCCTCATGCTACCGTACCTCTTCCCTGACCTTGCTGCCTTTCACACAGTCGCTGACCTCATTACGCACCTCCGCACTAGTGACAGTCGCTACCGCGCTGCGCTTCCTGCTGAGTTCTGCGCCAAGAACCCCCCCCCCCCCATGTACATCACTCTCTATTACATAGTCACCCGCCTCCTTGACTCCCTTCATGTAGTCAGAGACCACTTCCTCTTTGTCTGTCCCACCACTCTCACTGTTGACCTCCTCGAGAAGGCCCTCCTAGCAGCGGAGAAGAGCATAGTTGCTGTAGGAGCCTCTCGTCGTGACCCTCTCGTCCCCATCTTTGAGGGGTGTTCCCCTTCCCCCCTTTTGCCCTCTGTCGCCTCTGCTGCTGCGGCCGACCTCGTTGGTCTTGAGTCAGTCGGTGCGGCGTCTGCCCCTAGCGCGAAACGCCACTCTGGCAAGGGCAAGGGGGGCAGGGGCGCGAGAGAAGCTAGCGGGGGTGGTGGAGGTGGCGGTGGAGGCGGCGGAGGGAGTGGGGGTGGCGGTGGGAGTGGTGGCGGGGGTGGAGGTGTCGGTGGCGGCAGTGGAGGCGGAGGCGGCGGAGGCGGTAGCGGTGGGAGCGGAGGCGGCGGTGGTGGCGGAGGTGGAGGAGGTGGTGGTGGAGGAGGTGGAGCTGGTCGAGGTGGTGCTACCCAGCGGAGCGGCTCCGGTGGTGGTCAGCGCTAGCAGCAGCAGCAGCGTTCTCGGGACATCCCCCCCCCTCAGCAGCTCCATGAGTGGTACGCTGCACATCAGCGTGGTGGGGGTACTGGTCCGTGCACCTACGTCCTACGCACCGGCGACCGCGCGGGTGAGCAGTCTGGGGGTCTATACCCCACCCAGCGCTCCTTTGGCCGCCTGACGGACGCTTGGCGTCACCAGTTCCCGGAGGCCACTGAGATCCCCCGCTGGGGTGAGCTGTCTAGGGCGGGTGTAGCTATCTTTGATCTTGACTTTGATGCTATTCTTGCTGCCATGTATGCTGTGACTATTAGTGATGAGGGTGACTGTTACCGGTGTTTCCCGCCCGACCCGGGCATTGAGACTGCTGCTCTAGGTACTGGTGAGGCTGCTGCTCTAGGTGCCAGTGAGGCTGCTGCTCTAGGTGCCAGTGTGTCTGCGTCCTCAGGTGCTGGTGAGTCTGCGCTCTCAGGTACCGTGTCGGCTTCGGCCTCCCTCACCTTCACACTTGACTCAGGGGCTTCTCGCTCCTTCTTTCGAGACCGCACCACACTCACGCCGCTTGGTCGGCCGGTTGCGGTCTCCCTGGCAGACCCTTCTGGGGGTCCTGTCCTTTCTCACTTCTCCACTGTCCTCTCGTGTCCGGCTACCCCCTCTGGCACCTTGTCTGGTCTTTACCTCCCCTCGTTCTCTACGAACTTGGTGAGTGGTGCTGACCTACAGGATGCGGCGGTTCACCAGTTGACTCTTGCGACTGAGCGGGTGACCAATTGCTTGGACGCTCGCACAGGCCGGCACCTGGCCACGTTCACGCGTCGGCCGGGGTCGAGCCTGTACACCCTGACCACTGAGTCTCCTCCTGTCCCTGCGTTTGGTCAGGTAGCTGCGTCGGGTCAGATGTTTGCTGTAGCGTCCTGGTCTGGTCCTGAGTCTGCCCCCTGCTCGTGTCGCCTCCTGTCTCACGAGACTCTCATGTGGCACCACCGCCTTGGTCACCCCTCTGTGCCTTGTCTCCGAGGCATGGCCTCCCGTGTCCTTGTCTCTGGTCTTCCCCGGTCCCTCCCTCCCCTTCCTCCGGGGCTGGCCCTTCCTGCGTCCCCTGTGTCGAGGGGCGCCAACGGGCTGCCCCTCACTCCTCTCAGTTTCACCCGACAGAGGCCCCGCTGCAGACGCTTCACATGGACGTGTGGGGCCCCGCCCGCGTCCGTAAACAGGGTCTCGAGCGCTACTTCTTGCTGGTGGTTGACGACTACTCGCGTTACACCACAGTCTTCCCCTTGCGTAGCAAGGGTGATGTCACTGAGGTGTTGATCGACTGGATCCGCGGAGCTCGTCTCCAGCTCAGGAGGAGCTTCGGCTCGGACTTTCCTGTTCTGCGTCTGCACTCTGACCGAGGCAGAGAGTTCTCCTCTGGCCTTCTGCGAGCCTATTGTCGTGCGTGAGGCATCCGCCAGACCTTTACGCTTCTGGACTCTCCACAGCAAAATGGGATTGCTGAGCGCCGCATTGGCATGGTCCTGGACGTCGCCCGTACGTCCATGATGCATGCGGCTGCCCCCCATTTTCTGTGGCCGTTTGCGGTTCGGTACGCGGCGCATCAGATCAACCTTCACCCCAGGGTCTCCATGCCGGAGACCTCCCCAGCTTTGCTGTGGACGGGGAAGGTAGGCAATGCGTCTGCGTTCCGGGTTTGGGGATCTCGGGCGTTTGTCCGCGACTTGTATGCGGACAAGCTGTCCCCTCGTGCTGCTCCTTGCGACTTCCTTGGCTTCCCCCCTGACGCGCCAGGGTGGCAGTTCTACCACACCGCCTCTCGTCGTGTTCTGTCCTCCCAGGACGTCACGTTTGACGAGTCGGTTCCCTACTACCGCCTCTTCTCCTACCGCACTCCATCCCTCCCCCCGCCGCCGCTCTTCCTTGTTCAAGGTCCCCCTCCGGTAGACCCCCTCCCCCCTCAGGGTCCTGCCCTTTCTGGTGTGTCCCATGTAGACGCAGTCGAGCCTGTCAAGGTTACTGGTGACTCTGGTGCTGCTGGGGGTGCTGAGCCTGGGGGTGCTGACTCTGGGGGTGCTGAGCCTGGGGGTGCTGACTATGGGGGTACTGAGCGTGTGGGTGCTACGCCTGGGGGTGCTGGGCCTACGGGTGGTACTACTGGGGGTGCTGAGTCTGGGGGTGCTGAGACTGGGGGTGTTGAGCCTGGGGGTACTGTGCCAAGGGGTGCTACTCCTGGGACTGCTGAGGCTGGGGGTGCTACGTCTGGAGCTGCTGAGACTGGGGATGCCATGTCTGGAGCTGCTGAGCCTGGGGGTGCGGAGCCTACGGGCACTGGACCTGCTCGTGTGGCGTTTGGCGGTGCTGGGCCTGGAGGTTCTCCGGGTGCTTTGTCTCGACGGGAGCCACTCTCTTCACAGGAGCTGCGCGAGTGGTTTGCCCGGCGCTGGAGGCGTACTGCTGGAGCTGGAGCTTCTTCGGCTGCTGAGGGTGCTGGTGCCGCCGGTCTCGGAGGTGCTCGTCCTAGGAGTGCTGGAGCTACTGGGCCTGCTTGTACGACTGGAGCTGGAGCTGCTGAGGGTGCTAGCACTGAGGTTACTGGTGTCAGTCCTGGCGGCGGTCCTGCTGCGGGTGCTGCTGGTGCTGCTGGAGGTACAGCAGCTGGAGGTGCTGTTGGCGCTGGTGCTGCCGCTGCGGGTGCTGATGGTGTCCCTGCTGTGTCTGGAGTCGCCGCCCGGCCTCGGCCGTACTTTGTTCCGCTCCTTCAGCAGGTTTTTGGTCTTCCTCCTCCCTTACAGTGTCCACCGCCTGTCCAGTCACAGTCTCAGTTACCGCCGGCCTCCCCACTCCTTGCTTCTTCTCCCTACACTGGTCCTACTCGAGGTCTTGCTGAGCGTCGTGAGCCTGCGTCTCCTGTTCGTGCTGCTCGCACTAGTGGTCGCGGTGTTAGGTGCAAATTCACATTGCACGACATCCTGCCGTCTGTTTGTACGAGTATGCGTGTGCGAATGCATTTGCGTGTGAATGGTATGTTCGTGTGTTTGTTTGCTTTCGCAATTTTCGCTTGAAGCATTTGCAGGTACTCGCACAATGTGCGCTTCGGCATAACATTGTACGCGCTATGAACAGTACAAGCAGAAAGGACGAGCTCGCAAAGGAACCCAAGGTGGAAGCTTTGCGGTTCAACTTACTTGATTGCGCAGATTCAGTTCTATCCAACTCGAAATTGTACTGTTTTGTTTGGTTGACTATAGTGTAGCAGGGCAGGCACTATAGGGGTACAATTTAGGTGAAGGTTGGATGTTGTTTGTCTGTATCTGCATGCTACAGGGCCAGGGGAAACCAGCGGAACCAGCATTTGGCTGGTTGGGCAAAGACAAAACAGGTTCTGTTTTTAGGACCTGAACCTGGTTGTTGTTTTCCCAGGTTGGAAAAACAGAACCAGAGGTTGTTTACCAACCTACTACCTGCTGTTTTGTCTAGCCAGGTTGGTTCTGTTGCTTCGAATTATTTGGGATCATCCCTAGTTGTTCCCAGGTTTATTCCCAAGGTCCATACTAGCTAGAACTATATATTCCTTCTCTGTTTGTACCTGAATATAGTGAAATTGATTCAAGCGAATTCCTTCCTTGCTGGAATTTCCTTTCTACGTGGTGCGACGGCGGAATGCTACCCGAGTCAACGCTAGTACGCTAGCACTCCAACGCTAGGCTAACGCTGTCCGAGCCATAACTTCGTAATGGCAGAACTTTTCGCAAGGCAACTTGGCTTATTTTAAAGCTCTTAGAGTGAGCTTCGATATAGGAAATTCTCGGCTTAATCCGATCGACGGTCTGGACGATACGCTGCGCGACGTTCAAGGTACTGTTGCTGTTTTGACTTAGTCCCTCTTGATCCCTCTCTCTACAAACTCGGACCCGAGGATAGGGGCTGGTCTTGTACCAGGCACCCAAGGACCCTTGGAGGTGACCCCGAGGAGAGGTTTTAAGTTTGATAAAGTCTTAATAGCTTGAGTTTATTAGGCCCTTACACCAACAAGCTGGTATCAGAGCTGCGTTATAGTGATCCTCGATATAGGTAGCTATGGCGGGGAACACCTCGGCGGAAGCTGGTGAATCTTCAGCCCAAGATCGTAGCGGCAGCCATGATTCTGGTGTTTCTGCGCCAAGGGGAGCGCGAACAAGCCAGGGCTCGCTGATCAAGGAGGTGCTGAAAAACTTCACCGTTGAGAAGTTCAATGGTGAGGGCTTTGATGATTGGGCCTGGAAAATGCAACTTTATTTCCGTCAGATCGGATTGCTGAAACTAATGATTGGGGAGGAACCTAGACCGAGTGACCCCGCCCTTCAGGAAGATTGGGACGAGCGCGCCTCGGCTGGCTACTACTTGATGTCGCAGAGTTTGGAGCTGAACCAGCGTCACCACGTCATGCACCTGCTGCCGGAGGTTGAGTGCGGTCCGAAGGCGTGGACGGTGTTGAAGGAGCTGCACGCCCCTACCTCCGTCGCTGCGACGCTCATGATGGAGAGGGAGCTGTCCGCGTTGCGCCTAAGCGAGGGAGAGCCGGTACAACCCATCCTGGACAAGATGCGTGATCTCTACGCGAAGCTGGCGATCGCGGGAATCACCTACCCGGAGCAGACCAAGTGCCTGAAAATGCTATCGCTGCTGCCGGAATCGTGGCTTCAATTCACGAGCGGATTGAGCCTGCCGCAGAACCAGAGCTTGTGGACGCTCGAGTGGGTGCGGACGAAGATTCTGGAGGAGGACTTCCGTCGCCGCCAACTGAGGGGTGGAGACGATGGCAGCAGCGGCTACGGGATGCAAGGGAGCCAACGTGGCAAAGGACGTGGCTTCGGTGGTGCTGGACGCGGTGCAAAGAAAGACGACGACTCCAACGACCAACAAGGAGGTACCGGTTGGGGTCGCGGTGCGAAATCTGGACGTGGGGGCAAGTCGGGTGCTGGTGGCAAAATGAAAGGGAGTTGCTGGTATTGTGAGAAGGAAGGGCACCCCTGGTTTTTGTGCTATAAGAAACCCGATGGATGGACCCCCCAGAATCGTCACCAGGATGGCGGCGCGCGGAGGAACCAGAAAAACGGCGCCAACATGGTCGCTGATTCGTCCGACAACAACCCGAAGGGCAACGGCGGTGCGGAGAAGAAGAAGGAGCGCACCGCGGGCCAATTCTTCCATGTGGGAGACAAGGGGGAGCAAGGAGACGCATCTGCTAAGGTTGGAGCAGAGCTGCACCCCTTGGACTATTGGGTGTTGGACACAGGCGCTGCTTGGACAATGACGCCGCGCAAGGACCTGCTGGACGATGTACGCGCTGCACCGATTAATGATGTGTGCTCTGCCTCTGGACACATGTTGAAGGTGGCAGGTGCGGGACGAGCTGCGTTTAAGGGAGCGGATGGCAAGCCCGTGGTGCTGCACGACGCTCTCCTCGTCCCCGACCTGAAGGCCAACCTTATCTCCCTCCGTAAGCTTGGCAAGGCTGGGGTGAACACCAACACAGATGGGGATTGCACTTATAAGGGGAAGCTGGGCAATCGGGTGCTTTGGGATCTGCACGAGAGCAAGGACGTGTACAGATCTATGTGGCAGCTGCCGGCGCTGGCGTGGCACGGTGGGGGGCAGGCTGGAGAGGGGTCTGCATCCCAGGGGGAGTGCAACGCCGTTGGAGGGGTTGGTATGAAAGTGTCGGCCAGATCTGGGGAGACGGATTGGGCAACTGCACACCGACGTTTGGGGCATGTGGCAATGCCTTTGCTGAAGCAGCTGGAGAAGGATGGAGCCGTTAAGGGCTTGAAGCTGAACGGACAACCACTTGATGATAACTGTGAAATTTGCCTCCTTTCAAAGTTCACCCGTTTCCCCTTCCATAGTGTGACTGGCAGGAGCAAAAAGCCGTTGGAGCTGGTCCACATGGACTTGGTGGGGCCGCTGCCGGTGCAAGGGCACAAGGGGGAGCGGTACTTCCTAACCATAGTGGATGACTGGAGCAGGCTAATGTGGGCGTATCCGCTGAAGCAGAAAGATCACGCCGCCTCCACGATTCGGGACGATTGGCTGCCGTTAGTGGAGAAACAAGCGGAGTGTGTGGTGAAGCGGATTAGGACAGATCGGGGTGGTGAGTTCCTTGGAGCTGAGATGACGGCCTGGCTCAAGAAGCAGGGCATCCAGAGGGAGCTGACCACGGTGTTGGGTGCAAATTCACATTGCACGACATCCTGCCGTCTGTTTGTACGAGTATGCGTGTGCGAATGCATTTGCGTGTGAATGGTATGTTCGTGTGTTTGTTTGCTTTCGCAATTTTCGCTTGAAGCATTTGCAGGTACGCGCACAATGTGCGCTTCGGCATAACATTGTACGCGCTATGAACAGTACAAGCAGAAAGGACGAGCTCGCAAAGGAACCCAAGGTGGAAGCTTTGCGGTTCAACTTACTTGATTGCGCAGATTCAGTTCTATCCAACTCGAAATTGTACTGTTTTGTTTGGTTGACTATAGTGTAGCAGGGCAGGCACTATAGGGGTACAATTTAGGTGAAGGTTGGATGTTGTTTGTCTGTATCTGCATGCTACAGGGCCAGGGGAAACCAGCGGAACCAGCATTTGGCTGGTTGGGCAAAGACAAAACAGGTTCTGTTTTTAGGACCTGAACCTGGTTGTTGTTTTCCCAGGTTGGAAAAACAGAACCAGAGGTTGTTTACCAACCTACTACCTGCTGTTTTGTCTAGCCAGGTTGGTTCTGTTGCTTGGAATTATTTGGGATCATCCCTAGTTGTTCCCAGGTTTATTCCCAAGGTCCATGCTAGCTAGAACTATATATTCCTTCTCTGTTTGTACCTGAATATAGTGAAATTGATTCAAGCGAATTCCTTCCTTGCTGGAATTTCCTTTCTACGCGGTGCGACGGCGGAATGCTACCCGAGTCAACGCTAGTACGCTAGCACTCCAACGCTAGGCTAACGCTGTCCGAGCCATAACTTCGTAATGGCAGAACTTTTCGCAAGGCAACTTGGCTTATTTTAAAGCTCTTAGAGTGAGCTTCGATATAGGAAATTCTCGGCTTAATCCGATCGACGGTCTGGACGATACGCTGCGCGACGTTCAAGGTACTGTTGCTGTTTTGACTTAGTCCCTCTTGATCCCTCTCTCTACAAACTCGGACCCGAGGATAGGGGCTGGTCTTGTACCAGGCACCCAAGGACCCTTGGAGGTGACCCCGAGGAGAGGTTTTAAGTTTGATAAAGTCTTAATAGCTTGAGTTTATTAGGCCCTTACACCAACAAGCTGGTATCAGAGCTGCGTTATAGTGATCCTCGATATAGGTAGCTATGGCGGGGAACACCTCGGCGGAAGCTGGTGAATCTTCAGCCCAAGATCGTAGCGGCAGCCATGATTCTGGTGTTTCTGGGCCAAGGGGAGCGCGAACAAGCCAGGGCTCGCTGATCAAGGAGGTGCTGAAAAACTTCACCGTTGAGAAGTTCAATGGTGAGGGCTTTGATGATTGGGCCTGGAAAATGCAACTTTATTTCCGTCAAATCGGATTGCTGAAACTAATGATTGGGGAGGAGCCTAGACCGAGTGACCCCGCCCTTCAGGAAGATTGGGACGAGCGCGCCTCGGCTGGCTACTACTTGATGTCGCAGAGTTTGGAGCTGAACCAGCGTCACCACGTCATGCACCTGCTGCCGGAGGTTGAGTGCGGTCCGAAGGCGTGGACGGTGTTGAAGGAGCTGCACGCCCCTACCTCCGTCGCTGCGACGCTCATGATGGAGAGGGAGCTGTCCGCGTTGCGCCTAAGCGAGGGAGAGCCGGTACAACCCATCCTGGACAAGATGCGTGATCTCTACGCGAAGCTGGCGATCGCGGGAATCACCTACCCGGAGCAG